ATCCAGTTCACAAAACTAGCATGAAATTACCTGTTCACAAATCAGACTGATCTGCTACTTAATTTCAATTCACTGTTGGAGAAGATTATCACTGAAAAACAACTGAAATTTCAATCTGTTCATCAGTGAAGCTCTATTTTATGATTGCAGAAGACATGATTCTTATCACTTTCATACTTTTTTGGTCATTTCAAGCCATTTGTTAAGCTTAATATCTTCAGTCAAGATTCACTGTCATCATTTGGAGAAAAGGGACCAGGAAATCCCTAAATATGCCTTTCTACAAAAGAAAGAAAACCATTAGGGTTTGGAACAACACCAGAGTAAATAATGACATCATATATTTGAGTTGCCTGGGAACAATTTTAATGTGACTTACACCATAAAAATATTATGTGATGAACTGGACTCCCTGAACTCGTAAATGACGATGCATAAAAGAGCTGAACCTTCTCAAAACATTCGATATGGCCAGAAACACTCTCACAGGCCTTGGCTGTCAATTCAAGTCATCCAAACAATTTATTCGGACCATATGTTTACATGTAACCCGTCCTTTGTGAACTTGTTTAAAGGGTCAGATGGGCATAAAATTTTATCAGAAAAAAAATAAACATTTGATCAACAACCCATTCGGAGGATAAAACAGCCGCTTATCCAAACAAAAGGCTGTTTTATTCCCACGGCTTTTCCATTTCTCTCTCTCTCTCTCTCCAGTGCATCTAAGAGCCGCACATGGCATGACTTGAATTGGGGGCAAATCAATACACACAGCGCCCGTTAGTAACGTTACGCTGGCAAGCAGGTGTTCAAAACCATCACCAATGAGGAATATATAAAAGCCACACTTCCGAGGGCTTAACAATAACACAGAACAGACAACAACATCTTCGCTTATGAGTCAACACCATCCGTTTACTTCCCCAGCCCCGCGCATCACCTGCATTTCTGAAAACACATATTATGATGACAAAAGCATCTGCAGAGACACACAGAAGTGCTCTTACCTGGGTTTGTGGCTGTAAGTGAGCGCGCTTTATCCCCACTTCTCACTGGAAATTGTGCGTTTGTCTTTTGTATAATCCAGAGACGCAAAATTCGGCGTTTGCCCTCCCCTTTCACTGCCTTGCAGTCGACGGCTGTGTGAGCGCGTCAAGCCGCTCCACCTGCATGCAACGCCACAGCAGCTCTGCCGCTCTATGCGCGGTCACCCGGTGGCGGCTATGGGCGCGAAATGAGGGCGCGGTCAGTGGAACACCTCACCAATCATCCACCGAGCGCTTCGCCTTCCAGCCTCATCGACGACACGATGACTGCGGCACCGCTTTCTCAATGTCACTTACTTTATCAAAATCTGGACCACCGACTATGTCCAGTAGCTGCGTCGCATGGCGTCCCCCCACTGTCCCTTAATCCGTTTAAACCAGGGGTTCCCAACCTTTTACGGTCTGCCGAAACGCTAAAATATTTACTTTAAACACCCTCTAGAATTTCAAAAACGTTTCTTATTGCTCAATAAATATTATGAATAATAAAAGTAAAGCCTTAGTTTTAGTATTCATTTATTTGTTGTTTACATTATTGGTTTAATGATAGCTACATTCCATTTAAACACATTTATTGCACGGCTCTATGAAATTGCCTAGCTCCTTTATTCTGATTGGTCATTCTGAGGTTTCAAGTCAAATATTTATAAAAAAAAAAAAAAATTTGTCCATGACAATCAATAGCCTAATGTTTTTGTTTGTTTGTTTGTTTGTTTGTGTATACATTGTCGCGTCTGGGGTACATTTTGCGATAACGCTGGGTTGAATGAACATCATACAATCCCTGTAGTTACATCAAGAACTTCTAGGGCGTTTAGTTTACAAATTCCTGTACTTTCTTATTACACGGAATTTGATTGGTCAGTCGTGGATTTCAAGAGTCAAATATTTATAAATAATGACAGTTTTATTTTGTCTCTTTTTTATAAGATAAATTAATTTCAGCTCAAGTCAATATTTCATGTGTATATTATTATTATTATTATTATTATTTATAGCTGTGTACATTTTCACGGCAGTGCGTCATATTTTGCTATACTGACAGGCTGAATGTACATTATATAACTTGCTTTAGTAATGTATCACAATTAACCTGCAGTTACGAACATTATGAATCTCAAGGGCATTTAGAGCTTTTTGTAAAGAATTTCTGTACTTTCATAATGTATAGCCTACTAAATTCAGTAAAGGACTTGCTTCCTGACAGTTGATGAAATGCTTTCTTTAGGCATGCAGGTGTGTATATAAATACATTCCTGGACATACAACATCTGGCTTTTGGCATTGTTCTATGACCAGTATGATGCCGTAACAACGACCGCAAATGCACTCTGCTGTTTTATGTGTGAGTGTGTTAACAAAATGTAACCAGGATCATAATTCTTGCTATATAGCACTTGCTCTTGAAATGAGCCACCTGGTTTCAAATCTTATGTCTCAGCTCTCATGGCCTCGTGGGACAGCAAAATGTCCATTGTTTACACACTTCAGTATCTCAGCAGATACAGTATCATCTGGGTTTTGTTCACATGCTATTTTTTGGGTACCACGTATTCAGGCATCCTACTCGATAGACATACTGCTTTTTGCTTACTATTCGGTACAGAGGAACACATATGTATACACTGAGTTAAATTTAAGGTACGTAAGGACGTAAGCTTTAGCAGTGTTTAATTGAGAACCAGTGTTAATTTCTGTTGTCATTAAATATTGTAAGTATGAGTGTGCCACTAGGCAAAATAAATGTTCTGGGGGTCAAGTGAGACACTGAGTACAGATTGTTTACCATATAATTTTACCACAGAATTTAATTACAAAGAGGTAAAATGCATAATGATCTTTGCTGGAATTTTTAAACGCCAATGCGTATGGATTCATGCACTTGATTATACATTAGCTAATGCTGCAGGCTGTTTTATAAGTTAAACATTTCCAATATTTTCTTTTTTGCTGTTATTTTGTCCTCAAGTCATACAATATTAGGCGTGTATCATCTTTAAATGCATTAATGTTTAACAGATGACTTTACATTTGCAAGCTTTGTGTAATGAGCCAAATATTCAAACAACAGCTAGTATGATTAATGGTATCTCTGGTATCTCTGGTAATTCCCCCATGTATTACCCTCAGCTAATAACCTTAAGCACAAAGCTTGGACCTCAGTTGTCTGCTCAGCCAAGATTTTAACAAAACTGTTTCACTGCTTCTCAATGTTTGAAAAAATATGTATATTTTGTCCGCTGAATCAAAGTCATGTGGTGTGACCAACAAGCAGGATAAAAAAATTAAATAATAAAAATAATAAAAAACATAAAATAGGAAATTATATCATAGACAGGACTGTGTGTCAAGGACAATAAATCTCTTAAAATATTACAAAATTTGAACTTTTTATTTTTACCTTTTTATTACAATAATTAAAAAAATAAAAATGCTTGTAAGATAATAAAAATTAAAAAATGAATAAAAAAGTAAAATACTTATATATATATATATATATATATATATAGCCTACTTTTTATTTCTTTTTTATTTTTATTATCTTACAAGCGTTGTTATTATTTAAATTATTATTAATAATAAATACATTTTTGGGGAGCCACATTACGTAACTTGTTGCAATACAACCTTGAATTAAATTGAATTAATAAAATATCAATATAATTACAATGATAATTGTTATAAAAAAATTAAATTTGTAAAATGATTGTACAATAATACAAATTGTACAAAATTAAAAAATAACAAATCAAAATAAACTAAAATACTTGAATATAAAATAATAAAAAATAAAAATAAGCTGTAACATGTCATGTGGTGTGACTCCCCAAAAATATACTGACAATTATGAATTAATAATATTGAATAAAATAATTAAAATTATAATTGTTGTAAAATAATAAAAATTGTTAGATAGATAGGTATCAAAGCTTTTAAAAACGTTTCATTCAAAAGAGCATTCCTGATCAGATAGCAATCCAATCTGTCAAGACAAATAGCATGACTAAAGTTAAACAGGCCTTGACAAAGCACAAAAAGTGAATGCTTTTCATTTAACATTGCTGTCTCATTTCTGAAAACGCCTGTGAGCTTTTGAGCATTCCAACAAGTGCCTCGAAATGACTGGGGAGTGGGGGCTCTCTATCTTACAACAGCAGACGGAAACCCAACCTCTCCAAACTGTGCCTTGGCATTGGCCGCTGTGCAAACAGCACCTTACCCACTTAGGAAAAGCGTCTAGACTTGATTAATTCCCCAACCGTCCTTCCTCATCTGTATTGAGCTGTGGTATCACTGAATGATTTGCAATTATTATTATTGTAGAACTTTCCTTTACTCCTGTATAAAGCTGTTTCTTGCATTCTTTCGCTTCTCGCGCACTACTTTGAACTTGGAGTGCCATTATGCATGAGAGGCTCCATCAAAGGAAAACATGCAAATGGTTGAGGATTTTGTGGATGTGGTTAAGCAGAGCGTGTGAGCGTGTGCGCGCGTGCGTGAGTTTTCTGAGGCTGGCGAAGCTAATGATAGTGTGTCAGAACAGCCGCATTGTCACTGTAACTCGTGTTAAACGATCGCAGGGGTTTAAAACCTGGAACATGTGGACATGGAGACCTTGAAGCCTCTTCGAGCCCAGAGAGCACAGCTGCATGGGAGACATATTAATGCACAGTGACAAGGACATGGGACATAGACTATCTGTCTCACTCTCTCCCCCTATCTGTTTCTCTCCATAATGTGCGGTTTCAGGAATAGCCACACTAACAGAAGGACGGCATGATGGGGACCTTGGAATGTAATCATGTCATTACCGTGTGAGTGAAGTATGAAATGGTAAGAGAGCGGGTGAAGATTGACTGGCCTGAGATGGCGATTGCTTTAGGGGGGTGACTGATCACGTAAGCGCCACCGTAAAAGGCTTTCTGCCACTTTGTCCCTGTTGTGCCCTCTTTATTTTTAACATAAGCGTTCTCTTTCTCACTCTGAGTCTCTCTCACACACACTCACACACACACACACACACACACACACACACTTCGTCTTTCTGAGTCGCATCTCTCAGACACACGCAAGCCACAACACAGATTTTGAAAAGCAGCCAATTGTCTTTGTGCAGTCACTAGCGTTTCCCCAGGGCTGGCTGTGAATTAACTCAACACAATTGGGAGATTAAAACACATAAGAGCCTGCATTTAACCACTTCTGTCCTCTGAGTGAGGCAGGATGCCAGTGAACAGGCTCTTGTGCTGGGTTTAGATTTGGGTCATCAGCTCGGTGTGGTCTTATCTAAATGCACAGCGGCGATAGTGCTGCAGAGGAGCCCGGGGCCTTCCGACTCATTATTCAGCAGTTCATATCAGTTTATTAGTGCCTGCGCAATTATGCCGCAAATCGCGCCTCTTGATTTAGTGTGGTAAATACTTATAAATAAATCACAGCCCATCTGTCATCTTAACTGGATGTCAATTAGCAGTAGCACATTTTTCATTATGTGGATTTACAGTAACAAAATCAGCTGTTTTTGTTTCAGGTGGTGCTGTGCTGCGTTTTACTGCGCAGATCTAATCACATGACTCTTGTGCGTGTCTGGGTTGTGCAAAATTCACAACTGAATAATTAGCTCCATTTTAAATAATGTGTGTGAATTTTCATAAAACTGGCTACAGACCACAGAAAGCTGTGAATATAATGACAGGAACAGGAATCTATCTATCTATCTATCTATCTATCTATCTATCTATCTATCTATCTATCGAAAATCTGGGTTCGGTAAGTTTTTAAAAATATCACTAGGGTTGTCTTAAAGGGATAGTTCACCAAAAAATGAAAATTACCCCATGATTTACTCACCCTCAAGTCATATTAAGTTTTTATGACTTTCTTTTCAGATGAATACAATCTGAGTTATATTTAAAAAAAAGTCCTGGCTATTCCAAGCTTTATAATGTGAATCGATGCGTTTGTGTGACAGTTAGCAGAAACTAGAGATTATGGTTTATAAATTTTTTAATATGGATTTTTTTTTACACAAACGCATTCTGAAGGACTATATTAACCCCCCAGAGCCGTGTGGAACACTTTTTATGATAGATGGATGCACTTTATTTTGCTTCAAAATCTCGACCACCATTCACTGCCATTATAAAGCTTTGAAGAGCCAGGATATTTTTTAATATAACTCAGATTGTATTCATTGGCTTGAGGGTGAGTAAATCATGGGGTAATTTTCATTTTTGGGTGAACTATCTCTTTAATTTGATCAAAATACAGTCAAAACTGTAATATTATGAAACAACTGTTAAAAACTGTTTTCTATTTTAATATATTTCTAAA